ACCGCCTGGCGATCGATATTGCTATGCGCACATCTCGCCACGCGCTCGAATTGGGCGGTAGGCCGGCCTAAGACAACGATTTTTAATAATTAATTACTCGTTAACTATTACGAAAATTGCAAAATGGTACAGGACTTTTCCGTTCATCTCGATCCGTTCTACCTTCTCAAAAATTTGGTCGGATATGGAAAGACTCACCCTGTATATAGCATCCTAGTAAGTAAACTGCCTGCGGTATGAGAGTAAATTGGCAGTAAATTTGCCCACGCGCGATATCCTCTACGTTTACATTAAACTCATGTTTTGTCGGAGCCTGTTGATATAATCCTACAATAGATTGTCAGCAAAAATGAAGAATCGATTATTTCATAAACATTTAAACAATGCTCACTTTCTACAGTCAATCAGTCTGTTGTATTCTACTGGTGGAGTCAGTTCTACTGGCATTCTATTGACAATCTTTGCAGCAGGCATTTATAAACTTTGGTATCGACAACTTCGACTATCCCAGATTATACAATACTCGCTTTTTATTCTTGCTTAAAAAAATATCAAAATACCGGCTGTAATTGCGTGCGATCTCTTAGATGTCGATCTCGAGGTATTTACGAGATGCAACAAGCTGCGCGAGCTAACCACAGACACGCATAGAATAGCTAAAGCGCTGCAGGGCTCGACTATGTTGAAAGTATCCGAGGACGGTACAAAGGTCTGTCGATTAACTCCGATTCGGAAGAAGGAGAATATCGACCAGTGCACGATTTACGTGCAAAATCTACCCCCGGATGCCGATCACGAATGGCTGATGTCAATTTTCTCCAAGTACGGAACAGTGGAGTACATCTCGATTCCACGTTACAAGAGCAACAGGAAAATTAAGGGTTTTGCGTTTGTGGAGTTTGATATGCCCAGCAGTGCTCAAGAATGCATTAAGGTAAGCGGAGTGGTACTCGTTAACGCTCGCCAAAACGAATCGCCATGTAATTGCGGACGCAACGGATACAACTTGCACAATTTGGATATGTGTTAGGTCCAGTTTCACAAACGTCGGTTAACTGTTAACCAGAGTTCAGTCGACTTCCTATCTTTCTCTATCTTGTTATCCAAGAAGAGTCAGAGGACCAATTAACCATGGGTTAGCGGTTGAACGACGTTTGTCAAACTGGCCCTTACTGTTCAATGTATCGTTTTACAGATGTTTCGAAAAAAGGGACGCGTTTTGCCATCCCATATATCTCCCAACGAGCTGTTAAGTATAACAACATTTGACGAACCTAAAAAAGATGTAGCGGTTGGAGTTGTTGCTTCAAAGGCTAAAACAAAATTGAAAGAAAACGAAAAGGCATCCGGTGACGAAACAGGGAGTAAAAATAACGTCTGCGAGGTGGACACGGGGGCTAGTAATAGCAAGCAAAGCTTTAAAAGAAGAAAATACTCCTCGGACAAATCGTTTGTTGCGGATGAGAGCGACATTAAAGTCAAGAGAAAGAAAAGAGAAGCAACTGATCAGAGTGTAACAACGGATCAACAAGATGAGAGAGGAAAGACACTGAAAACTGAATCTGAAGATAATATTTGTGATAACGAAATAAGTGCAGCAGACAGTGGTAGACAAAGTTCAAAGAAAAGAAAGTATTCCTCAGAAAAAGTATTCGCTACAGACGAAGGTGATATCAAAGTCAGAAAAAAGAAGAAAGTACCGAAAGAAGATTTTGAGGACAACGATAGTGAGATAAACGCAGTAGATAACAATGACAGACAAGGTACGACGAAAAAGGGAAAACATGTCTCCGAAAAATCGCTTGTTACAGACGAAAACGACGTTAAGATCAAAAAGAGGAGAAAAGAAAGTGCGGATGAAACTGTAACAGATCAGCAAAATGAAAAAGAGAAAGTGCCAAAAGAAGAGCTAGAAAACGAAGTTGGTACTTGCGAAATAGATGCGACAAATGATAATAGTCGGCAAAGCGCAAGGAAGCGGAAGTTTGCTCCAGAAAAATCGTGTATTAAAGGTGAGAAAGAAGTTACTGGACACGGCAGTACAGAAAATCAAGAGATTTCAGGCAAAAGTCGCAACAAAACCACGGAGAAAAAGAAGAGAAGGCTCACGGTGGACGATACGATTGTTGCGGAAGACATCAATGGGGAAGAAGAATGTCAAGAACCAACAAGTTCAAGTGAAAATAAAATGGCAGAATTAGAGTATGAAGGCGATGAAAGCAACGAAGCAAATGCTTTGTTGCAAACTGAGAGACATTCCCCGGGAGATTTCGGCACGAGAAACAGCGATATTGAGGAAACTAGCGTTGACGAAAGGAAAAAGAAGAAGAATCGAAAGAAGAGGAGTAAAATTCAGAACGCTGACATCTGCAGTAAGATAGGATTGCAAGTAATGGCGAAGCCGGATTGGAAGCGTCTTAGAAACAGATATTTGGACTTGCAACGATACAAGATGTCACAGCTGAAACTACATTTGAGGAGAGCCGAGCAGGAAAGAGGCGGAATTATGACGAAAAATGGACGGTACCACGATAAACCTGATCAGAATAATGCCTCGCATGATAAATGTAAGCCTGAAAACGATAACGGGAAATTTAACGAAGAAAACAAGTCCTGCGGACGTGTTAATTATGCGTCAGGAATCATAGTGAAGATCGAAATGGACGAACCTTGCACAGATCCGCAGAGCTTCAAGGTACATTGATAATATTGGAGGAACAATTTCTGAAGTATATTAAAGATTGTATTTTTAACAACTTATATGTCGGGGATTTAATTTTAGATGGAGTTGAAGGACGACAATTCTGTAAAATATGTAGACGTAACAGCCGATTCTTGCGAGGCCTATGTGAGATACGATACAGCGGAAGCTGCTCAAACATTTGCACAGAAGAGCTGCGAAGGACGACGCTTGACTGTTTTAGAAGGTAACTAGCTTGCACATCATAAATTGTTTACCAATAAAATGTAACTAAATTCAGTTAAAATCACTTAACTTTGTAACTTTTGAACTTAACTTTTCATCATTTTAATTAGACACTACCCTGCGAATAATACATTCATTATCAACTTGACGTGTCAATTTTTCAGGCGATGAAGAGAAGTTATATTGGGATAAGATATCGGAAGATAGGATGGACAAGTTGAGCAAGAAGAAAAGAATCAAGCAAAGAGGGCGCGATAAATTGCTAAAACGAGCGGAGAAAGAACTTGGGAAATGTATAAAGTTCGAGCAAGATTGATCGTATTTTTTTTGTATACAAATTTTTTGCTATAAGTACACGCATACGTTACGTCACAACACAAATTTCACACGTGTTATGTACGTACACGTATGCAAATATCGCTGTTGGTGTGATTAAAGTTGAAGTGATTAAAGAAAATTCATGTGAGCGGCAACAGAAAATTGTATAAAATATTTAATCCTTTTTATAATTTATATAATATTCGTCATTATGGTATAAGCAAGATATTCCTTTACATTAACACAATTTTAAAATCTACCATCTTCCTCTGCCTCCTCCTCCCCCTCCCCCTCCACCTCCTCGACCGCCACCTGAATTGAAACGGTTGAATCCACCGCCTCCTCCGCGACCCCTAAATCCTCCGCTGTTGCCACCTCTGTTACCAAAGCCACCGCCTCCTCCCCTCCCGAAGGATCCCCTGTTTCCGCCCCTACCGAAGCCTCCTCTGCCTCCGGCGCTTCTTTTCATGACTCTGCCGGCGCCGCCACCTCTTTTCTGTTCTCCAGGAGGTCTCGGCAGGAACCTTTGGAGAGGCAGTAGCTTTCCTGGGTCGATATACAACTGTAATCAATAATAATACATGTACAATTCACATGCGAACGTTGGTGGGATGTATGGCTCCGTGTGAGAGCAGTTAGCAAGTCTCAAATCTGAATCGCCTACATGTACTCAATTTTATAAAAGGTTGATTAAGCTGGTAATAGACGCGGTAAGTCGCAGGCCGCAAGAAATCAGCTAAACAGTCGATTATTCCCATATCTGGCTGCGACTGGTCGTTTTTTGCAACTCGCTAGGTCTATCGTAGAACCAGCGTTACAAGAATTAAGAATTGTGAGCAAAACAGTGGTGTGCAGATAATTTTCCTGAGACTTGGACGAACGAATGTGAAAGCAGTCGCCTCGTAATCAACGGATCTTGCATTTGCTCTCAAACCACACAGACCAAATTTTAACGTCGCAATACCTGAGCGTCCTTCTCAAAGCTGCCGGCCTTCACGTTCTCAGACAGTTTAACGGACACGTAATAGTCACGAATATTCCCAAATATCTCGTCTATCTTCCCGATCTGCTGCTTGTTCTCTGTATAGATCGGCGCGTTGAAAAAGGGCACTTGTTCTATGTCGACCTTAAGGACCAAGTCGTTCTCGACCGTCCACGTGAAGTGACCCAAGGGCATTACGGTCTCCGGAGGTCCTTGGTCGTACCTGCAATGAATTTGCGAGAGACAAGCACGTTAACGTTGTAGAACTTCACTCGCGACCTAACCTAATCTTCGGCAAACTTGTTCGGTACATTTTACGCAGACCGTCATTACATTATCGACGAAATTACCCTCTGCCCTTGTCGAAGCCGCCAGAGCGTCCCCTGTTAAACCCCCCGCCGCCTCGACCGCCTCTGAAACCACCGCCGCCTCCTCGGCCGCCGCGTCCACGAAAGGACATAACCTCTCAAAAAGACCCGTGTACTGGGACGATGTAGAGCTCTGTGGAAATACAAGTGATTAGAAATGGTACCGGCGGATTAATCGCGAGTTTAAACACGCGAATGTAACACGCTAAGTGACGCAAAGTGGAAAAAGTGTTGAGGTGAAGAAAAAAAATCCAAACTGTGTATCAACAACGCTCTTCGCAAGTGCTGCGTTTATTTAAAAATGAAATTAAAGTCTCACTGGATCTGCGCACCCTTTCTCTACCTTAACCGGATGAAAAGGACAAATTTACTCACGTGCTTCTCAGCAAACACGCTAGAATACGTGCACACCACGTGTACGTTCAGCACAGTTCAGCACGTGTTGGATACACAACTAATTCGTGTTACATTACTTACATTCAGTGACGGTAGATGGCGGGGCTTTTGGCGCAGTGAAAGACACAGGTCGAGTTTGAAAAAAGTGATTGAAATACTTGGTATTGCTCGTGCTATATTTTTTCGTTCAAGTCGGAAGGTGACAGGGAAATAAAATAAGCAACCCTGAATGGAATAATCGACGTTTAATTTCAATAATCATGCTTTTCGGTCGACATCAACCGGCCAATGTTTTAATACAGAACATTTATTACGAAAAATATCACTTCAGCCAGGGTTTGAACCTGAACTTTCCTACTCTCTAGGCGTCTCACCAATTCGACCACTGAGGCATGTGGTAATATTTGTCGCAATAACAGTATAAAAATGATATCTTCGCGGATTTTTCGACTTTAAACGTTCAATTTATTACAAATATTAGAATTAATTTTTCACGTGGTCTTCTTTTTATATCATTTTTAAAGTAGCAAGTCACTTGGAGGATACAAAACTGTTAAGTTTCCTTTTAAATTTCCTTTCTATAAGGGGACCCCCGAGACTAACATTACAAATCTCGGGAATTCGGACTATCAGGATCTCGGTGGATTCTGACAGAGATTTACGTTTATGGAAAACGGGGTTGACGTTTGAAAATAGGCCGTGGTGATTTTCTTCCGAGTAAAGAGCTCCTGTAGGTGACCGGCGGATTGAAGTACTCGTCGACGGGAATGTACTTTACGCCACCGAAGGTGTCCAGCATGGCGATCACTGAAATCTTTAACTCGGCGAAGAAGAAGTTGTGCGCTGTTAAAAATAAATGGCGCAAATGTAATTCGACGTACAAAAACTTTTTGAATAATATGCGGAGAGACTGGCGATATTACATTCGGGCATGTTCCGCATATTCGGGTGACGGTCAAAGTACAGTTGCTTCGCAACCTCGTGTTCCTTCGTGTCGTTTTTCAGCTGTCGTTAAAAAACGTTTGAACATATTAGTGACGGCTAGATGTAAAAAAAAATAACATTCAGTACGCAAGTATAAATTTACTGACTGCCACAATCTTTCCAGTTAACATGACTCTGACGCATCGCGGGTCCATCGGATCATATTCTTTATCTTTGCAATAGCTGCCCTGAGCCAGCGACACTAACAGAGTCGCGCGATGATCTTTCTGTAACAATCATTGCGATATAATTGTAATGCGATCGATAGTGCGATATATAATCTGTAAAAAAATTATTAACGCAACGGGCGAGTTTGATTAATGAAAAAATTTGTCTCTTCAAGCCAAATAACAAAATGTTACACTATTCTTAAATTCTTGTGCTTATCTTTTGATAATACAGCAATCAATCTTCTTTAATTCTATCACGTATATGATAAGGCAGTAAATAAAATTCTTTTTTAATTACTTTTTGTATGTTCGCGATATCTCGACAGCGATAAATTTCAACATTGCACTCGTGCAAATATAATATCTCTCGGATTAAATTTAATGATGGTTCCCTTCAACTGGAAGAGGAGTCTTTTTCATCGATACAAACAACTAATACGCATATGTTATATGTTACCTTATGATAACATAATTGAAATCAATTTCAATTCAAATCAAATCAAATCGTTACTTACAGCGAGATCCTGAGCGGGAAAATCGAGAGGCGTGAGGTACGTGTACGGTATTCCGGTACCGTTTCCAACAGGCCCGTCGGCAATGGAGATCAAATTCGCAACGGGAAAGCTTTGAACATCATCTCTCGTACTTATCGTCGCTATGGCTGCCCAATCTGCCGATACATAAATCCATATCGAATGCGTAAATATAGGTATGTAGTAATCATGCACGAGAAAGAGCGAGAGAGAGAGAGAGAGAGAGAGAGAGAGAGAGAGAGAGAGAGACGCGCTGAATTATATAAATTATTTTCGCAAAACTTTTTTTCTTCTACAACAAAGTGATCAAAATCTAAGAGCGGTTTCTCTCAGGTGGATTCCACAACCATCGAGAGAACCAGTTTCTTTGTCCGATTCCTTTGTTTACTCC